GCTTGCGGGTGGGGGTGGGGGTTGTGCAGGCTGCTGAAAGGGAAAAGCCGACTCCTAGAGTCAGGAAAGAACACCTGCGGGGAAGGGCGGTCTCACCTACCTAGCTTTACCTGGGGTTCACAAAGATGAGGAAGGAGGCTGGAAGAGGAGAGAGGGAGGAAGGAGAAGGAGGAGGAACTTGGTCGATAATTAAGAGAAACAGCCAGAGGAACAGGAAGAGGAGGGAAGGGGAGGGGAGAGAAGGAGAAGGGAAGGGAGGGGAAAAGGGGAAAAGAAGGCCAAAGAAGAGTGGAAGAGGAGGAGGGAGGGGGAAGAATATCAAATGACGGCTGAAGAAACTGGACTCTGGAAAGACAACTGAGCCTAAGACATCAGAATACTGCCGGCCTGATGTTTATGTTGTTTGTTTAATATAATGTTTGGTGAACCCACCCACCAAGGTGTAACCCTATTTGTAGGAAGAAGTCTGTACATCTAAGGCAGAGGTTGGAATGTTTTTGAGACCAGCATAGGGAGAAAAGTGCAACCTACATGAGAACCGTGGGTGATTTCTCCTCTGTACTTCTAGTTTTCCTGTCCACACTGGATCAAGGTGACTCTGTCCTGAAGACCTATGGAGCCTGCTGCTTCCCTGCACTCTTGCCTGCTAGCCTCCCTTGTCTTCTTCCTGGTCCTCAGTCTGTATGTGATGGTCTCAGGTAAGGCTGTAGGCATCTTGCTCCTGACAGGTTTTTAGAAAGTGATACCCACAGTTCTGACAGCCAGCCAGGAGGAGGACTGTAGCTGTGCTGGCTCATCCTTCTAATCTGACTATATACTGCATTTATCCCAATTTTGTCCTGCAGAAATGCAGCAAGAGTCCCAAAGGAGACCTGTAAATACTCCTGTAAAATTTCAAGTGGCAACATTCAAAAGAGTTAAAAACAGATGAAGTAGATTTTAAAGATATATTTTGTTGAAATCCACATCATCAAATACTAATATTTAAATGCTTACCTTGCTGGGCGGGCGTGTTGGTGCACAACTATAAATTTGGGCAACTGAGGCAAGACTGCCAAGAGTTCAAGACCAGCTAGGGGTACATAATAGGATGCTGTCTCATAAAACAAAACAAGGGGGCTGGGAATGTGGCTCAGTTGGAAGAGTGTTTGACTAACATTCACAGTTTTGGTTTGAACCCTGGGTCTGTGCCACACTCAGGCCCTGGGCTGAAGAACAAGTCATTCTGAACATGGGGTCTATAGTATGTGCTCAAGGTGACCTCAGTGTTCTGTTCATGTGGATTCTATTTTGCTTTTCTTCATGATGGACTTGCACTTGCTATGTAGCTGAAGATGAATTTGAAGAACTGATCCTCCAGCCTCCGTCTCCTGAATGTTGGAATCACAGGGGTGCATTACACACAACTCAGCATTTGTTCCTGAAATATTTGCAGCATCATTAGGTTGTTCCAAGAGATGCTGCTCACCAGCCACAGCAACCAGCCCATCTAGGAAGCCCCTGTGGCCTTGTCTAAACCAGGTTGTCTAACCTTTTCAACTCTCCAGGCCACACTAGATGAGGAATTCCCAGGGCCACACATTAAATGATCCAGAGGTATCTGTTCTAGTTTCATTTCTGTTGCTGTGACAGATGTCCTGACAAATAGCAGCACAGGTTTAATTGGGTACAGATGCAGGCCATAGTCCATCACCGAAGGAAGTCAAGAAAGGAACTGAAGGATGGACTGCTTACTATTCCACACAGCAGTGCCTCCAACCAAGGAACTCACTTCACTGCCAAAAGAAGTGCAGGATAGGCCATGGAAAATGCTGCTGGCTGGCTGGTGTCAGGCTCTTATGTAGATCAGGATCACCTGCCTAGGGAATGGTGTGAGCAGACCCCCTCCTACATCAATAGACGGTACCCCATAAAGATGCCTACAGACCAATCTGACCTAAGCAATTTCCCAGTTGAGATTTTCTTCCAAAATAATTCTAGGTTGCGTCAAGTTGACAGTTAAAGCTAACCAGGCCAGGGTCCAAAGCTCAGCTTGCATGCTATGAGTGCACACATATGTTTACTTTGTATGACATTGTGACTCAAAACAGTCATTACAAAGTTCACACTTGAGAACCAGAGAATCAAAACAGACAGCAACAGAAACAAACCTCATGTTTTAAGTAAGATTACCATTTTGTGTTGGGTTGAATTTACACCTGACCAGGGCCACAGCTTGAACATGCTTGAAATCCTAGAATACCACTTGACTACATTGGATATTTAATGGCTGGAATTCCTGTCTGATTGTCCTTCTTTGTTGAATAGCCCAGTTTACTGTCCTGGGACCAGCTGAGCCCATCCTGGCCATGGTAGGAGAAAATACCACACTGTACTGCCACCTGTCACCAGAGAGAAATGCTGAAGACATGGAAGTACGGTGGTTTCGGTGGCGTTTGTCCCCTGCAGTGCTTGTGTACAAAGACCATCAAGAGAGAGAAGAGGAGCAGATGGCGGCATATCAAGGAAGAACCACCTTTGTGAGCACAGACATCAGCAAGGGAAGAGTGGCGCTCATTATCCACAATGTCACAGCCTATGACAATGGCATCTACTACTGTTACTTCCAGGAAGGCAGGTCCTATGATCAGGCTATCATGAGGCTCATGGTGGCAAGTGAGTCACTCCATATTCCTCTGTTGATTTTTCCCACTGTGACCTTTGGAGAAAATTGCTCTCCTGGATTCAGACTCATCACAGACTAGCACATTTCTCGCCTTTTTATACAGGGCGAGTTGCTTCCTGAATCCACCTGAATGAGCTCTGCAAAGCTGTGTCCATTGCTTCTAGAGCAACAGAAGGCACTTTTAGAAAATGTGCAAGGGTACCTGAGATAAACAAGCATTGCCCCAAAAAATCACAATAGACATTTTGCTGGTTAATATTAATAGTATAGCCTATGCCAGGCTTAGGTTACTTTGTGGCTGACAATGACCTTGAATTTCTGATCTTCCTACCTCCCTATCAAGTGCTGGGATTACAACCTGTATCACCATCTCACCATCATCCTCAACCCCAGCTAATCTTGCCTTCCCCCCCTATTTCTGCCAATAATAATTGTACAGAAAGCAATTGACATGTAAACCGATGGTAGCAAATATTAAATACAGTGGCCCCATAGAAGCACTGAGTGAGAGTAATTTTGCAAAGCTTCAGGATGGAAATGACAATTAAACTGGGCATGCCAGGGAGGGAGCCATGGTTTTTATTTTTATTTATTTATTTTTTATATCACACAATATTAAAGGAGGACGGTTTCCTGACCCTCATGCCCTCATCTTGTTCACAACAGAACTACAGGGTTAGCTGATGGTGCTTGAGGGTTCCAGGAACCCTTATTCTTTCCCTGTAAGCATGCTGCACTGCCCTGCCCTGCCCTGCTCCGAATTAGTTCATTATAGAAATTAACTTGATGGTGGTGGTGGTAGTGGTGTGTGTGTGTGTGTGTGTGTGTGTGTGTGTGTGTGTGTTATATGCATCTGTGTGTGTGGGGGGGTGTATACATGCATGTGTGTTTGTGGTAAATGCACATGTGTATATGTATGGCTTATGCTTGTGTGTGTCCTCACCTGTGTTATGCTTGTAGTAGTCAAAGTTGTCTTTCTCTGTCACTTTCCAACTTATTTCTTGAGATAGAGTCTCTCACTGAACTTTGAGCTCTCTGTTCTGCTAAATTGGCTGACCAAGTAGCCCCCAGAATCTGCCTGTCTCCTCATGCCCTGCTTCAGTACTGGGGTTATAGACATGTGGCCACCCAAGCTTTAGTTTAGGTGCTGAGGATCCAAATTCAAGTCTTCACACTGGTGCAACAAATACTTCACCAATGACCCATCTCCCCAGCACTCCTTGAGGTTTTTCTTAATTCCTATTTTGTTTGTTGGATTGATTAGCTGGGTGATTTCATCCTCAAGTCTTTTGTCTCCGAATCCTGTGGAATGTTTTATAGGATTGTTTTTTTCCAGATTGCTAATTTTGTGTGCGTGTGTGTGTGTGTGTGTGTGTGTGTGTGTGTGTGTGTGTGTGTGTGTGTGTGTGTGCTGTTGTTGTTGTTGGGTTTGTTTGTTGTTTTGAGACAGGGATTCTCAAGTATAAACCTGGCTGGCTAAGTTATTTTGAATCTTATTCCATATTGAGTTGTCTGAGTGAGGCTGGAAGTATATAATTTTGTTTCCTTGGCAAAATCAAATTGAATATCCACACATGATGGCACATACCTGTACTCCCACTCAGACCTAGGGCTTGGAGACAAGAGGACCAGGAGTTATATGTCATCCTCAACTAAATACCTAATTCAAGGCTAACTTGAACTACATGAGATTTTTGTCTCAAAAAAAAAAAAAAATCAAGTCAAATACCCCAGTTTGATAGCCTATGCCTGTAATCACAGCACCCAAAGGCTGAGGCAGGAGGATTTCTGTGAGTTTGAGGCCAGCCTGAACTATATAGTGAGGTTCAATCTCTAACAAACAACAACAACAATAAAAATCAAATAGAGCACAAAGCTCTGGACTTCAGTGAGTGCTTGAATTTCCTTTCTTTGGTATAATTTATTGGGTAAGATTAACAAAGGAACTGTTCAATAAAAGTTTGTGGGGCATGCCTAAAGGGACAGAAATGTCCCATAGCCACATATCTAAAGCTTTGCCATGCCTAATGTTCTCTTTAGCTGAAGGCTTCCAGGCCTTTCTTCTAATGACACACACTGAGCAGATGGCACTGTTTTGACTACCTCAGATGCATTCCTATCTATAGTGTGTGGGCACACTATACAGATTGCCTACCTGAGGGAGTCCCTAGGACGTAAACACTTTTGAAGGTCAAGAGCCAGCTCTGTGGGGACACTATTCATTCTTCAAAGGCAGTAGGCTGTGTAGTTAGCACACAGCTGTGGACCATTGCCTTCTCTTTGTTTGGCCATGAGAGAGCCCTAAGCCAAAAAGGACAGTGTCTTAAAGTAAGACAGTTATATAAGGTTGTAGCATCCTGACAAATTCTTGTATTCTAAAATGTCCACAAGACCAAAGTAACTGAGAAATTTTCCCTCAGAGCACAAAGTGAAGTTCTAAGTTGGCCTTTTTAGGTTGGACAGAGCATACCTACTTAGAAGTCAGACTATTGGCCGGGTGGTGGTGGTGCTCGCCTTTAATCCCAGCACTCGGGAGGCAGAGGCAGGCTGATCTCTGTGAGTTTGAGACCGGCCTGGTCTCCAAGAGCTAGTTCCAGGACAGCCTCCAAAGCCACAGGGAAACCCTGTCTGGAAAAACCAAAAAAAAAAAAAGAAGTCAGACAATTGAAGTCTCTGGCAGAACCAGCGAGACAGCAAACCTTTACAGAGACAGTATAGATATGTATGTAGTCTGTGATGAACATTGGAGCTGGAGCACAATCTGGAGTGATGGAATCCTTTGCTCTTAGATAGCTTCCAGCACATTTGGTACATTGGTCCTTTCTCTAACGTCAGCAATTTTCTTTCTACCCATCTTTTCTTCCTTCCTGATTCATCTTCCCTCCATCTTTTGTCTGCAGGAACTTGCATATTCATTACCCCTAAGTTCAGCCAGTTTATACATCCCTTTATTTGGCTTCCATCATTAAGAACAGATCTCTAAGACACACTTACTGAAATACTATTGCCTGTTTTATGATGCTAAGAATCAAACCCAAGCCCTTGCTATACCAGACAAGAACTTTACTACTGAGGTACATCCCTAGCCCAGCCACTCTTTGTTTTTTGAGACAGGGTCTCACTATGCAGCCTTGGCTATCTTGGAACTTGTTATGTAGACCAGGCTGGCCTCAAACTCATAGAGATCCTCCTGTTTCTGCCTCTCTGGTGCTGGAACTAAACTAGCCACTCTTTTAGCTGAGCTCTGGTGTTCCTTCCTAGGCCTGGGCTCTAAGCCCCTCATTAAAATGAAGACCCTCGAGGATGGGAGCATCTTGCTGGAGTGCACATCTGAAGGGTGGTACCCAGAACCCAGAGCTGTGTGGAGAGACCCCTATTATGAAATTGTGCCTGCCCTGGAGGAAGAGTGTACAGCTGACAGAGGAGGCCTCTTCACAGTCACCATGACTGTGATCATCAGGGACTCTGTGAGGAACATGACCTGCTCTGTCAACAACACTCTGCTCAACCAGGAGATGGAGAGTGTGATTTTCATTCCAGGTTAGTCTTCTGCTCTCTGGAGATATATCTAGAAAAGGTGGGCTCCTCTGCAAATAGGTTGATGTCTGGAATAGTTATGGGAGACTAGAGGATAGTCTGACGAAGGATCTTTGGCTCTGCAGAGCTAGAGGCTGAAGCAGAACTGAGGTCACATCCTTTGTTTCAAGGAGACCAATTAGTCCCAAACATATGAATGAGTAGTGATAAACAGTAATAAAACTTTGAGGAACAGTGCTTATGTTGGTTCAGACCTGTAGCCCCCACAATTGGAAGGACAAGACAGACAGACGATCTCACAACTTAAACTTGACCTCACTTGAACTTGTGGTGAGCCTCTTTCCTCTACCTCCCTAGTACTGGAATTACAGTATAGGTCACCACACCCAGCAAGCACATTGAAGGGTTTCAATGTATAATGAACTGGATCTCCATCCCTCAGGTGAGAAGAGACTATATGCAGCCAGGGCAAAGTAAAGAGGAGGGCATTGCAAGAGCTTGGGCCGGAATGCTGGGGACCTGTGAAAGGTGATGGTATGGAGATTTAGCCAACTGCTTACCTCGTTTCATCCATGGCATTCATCCATGGCAGCCCTGGGTGACCCTGAATTTTTATCCCCCTGAGAATTCAGAGGTCAACCAGCAAAAAGCCATCATCTTTCTCCCATACTGAGGGAGAAACCCCAGCGCGAGGACCTGAGGGAACTCTCCAGATAAATTTCCTCAAAGGAGCACTCTTAGCCCTGGTGTCCTATCTCTCACCACACAGCACTTCTCTGGCTCACTTTCCAGAGTCCTTCGTGCCCAGCCTTCCTCTCTGGATGGTAGCAATGGCTGTCACTCTGCCTGTACTAATGCTGATCCTTCTCACATCTGGAAGTATCTGCCTTGTCAAGAAACACCACAGGAAAAAGTCGATTCTGTCACCTGAAAAAGAAGTTGAATATGAAGAAAAAGAAAACGCACGTAAGGAACTAGGGAAAAGAAAAAGAACTTAGAAGGAAAAAGAGTAACATAGTAGAGTTCACTATTCTTCAGTTCAAGGCCAGCCTTGGCTACAAAATGAGTTCAAAACCAGCCTAGGCTACATAGGACCATGTCCCAAAGAAATGAAAAAAAAAAAGAAAGAAAGAAAGAAAGAGAAAAAGAAAGGGAAAGGAAAGAAGGGACAGCACCCTTCTGATAGGTAGAAGTTTGAACGAGACAGATGCAGTGGAAGGGCCCAGAACTCTCATATCACAGTACATAGTAAGCCTTTGGATCTTTTATTGCAATCTGCAAACTTTGCATCACTTGGTTCCAAGCAGGACTGGATTACTGAACAAAAGCAAACCAAAAAAAGTCCTAATAATGTCCACTCACCTGATACAGATCACTTCTGCCTCTGACAGTTCTCAGGTATGGGTGTTTTTATTAGTTACTTTTTTCATTGTTGTGACAAAGTTATCTGACAGGGGCAGACAAAATAGTTCAGTAGGTAAAGGGACTTGCTGCCAAGCCTGACATCCTAGAGTTAAGTACCCAGAACCCACATGGTAGAAGAAAAGAACCAGCTCCTATAGCCTGTCCTCTGACCTTCACACCTGGCACATGTACACACACACACACACACACACACACACAGAGAGAGAGAGAGAGAGAGAGAGAGAGAGAGAGAGAGAATAAATGAAAATTTTTAAATTAAGTTTATGTGAATGAATATTTTGTCTATATGTATTATGTGTACCCGATGAATGTCTGGTGCCTACAGAGGTCAGAAAAGGGCATTGGGTGGCCTGGAACTGGAGTTATGGATGTTTGTAGGTGCTGAGAATGGAATCTGTGTCTTCTACAAAAGCAATGAGTTCTCTTAACCATTAAGTTATCTCTTCAGATACTAAAAACATTTTTTTTTGTTCTATTTTGGTTTGTTTTGTTTTTGCAGACAGGGCCTCACTATGTAGCTCTGGCTGCCCTGGAACTCACTATGTAAACTAGGCTGGCCTTGAACTCCCTGCCTCTACCTCTGAAGTGCTGGGATTAAAGGCGTGTGCCACTACAACAAATTTCCTAAAGCTTTTTTTTTTTTTTCCGTTTTAGTTACATTTATTTGGAGAAGGGTAGCACACTATTGCCTGCATGTAGAAATCAGAGGACAATTTGTGAGAGTTGGTTCTTCATGGGTCTAGAGGATTAGGCTCAGGCTTGGCAGTAAGTGCCCTTACCCTCTGAGCCACCATGATCAAACTCATTAACCTAACTTAGAAAATCTCTCACAGACAAACCTGTTTGTTTCCCCGGTGATTTTAAATCCTGTCAAGGTCACAATGGAGATTAACCCTGACATGTGGGAAAGAAAGGTTTGGGGCTGTAGCAAGAGACAACCCTGCATTACTTAAGACAAATCCAAACACTCCCTGCTGCCCACTGAAGACATTACTTTCTTTTTTTCAGGGCAACTTCAAGAAGAACTGCGTAAGTTTAAGCTTCCCTGCCTGAACTACTCTCTGCAGTTTGTGTTCTGCTGGCTTAGCCATGACCTTATGACATTCACCTCTCTGTAACTTGCAGGATGGAGAAGAACCCTTTTACATGCTGGTGAGTGCCTCTGGCATTCCCTTATATCCTGAGATTTCCTTCCACTAAGCGAGGACATGAGCAAAGAACCCCGGGGGCCCTTGAGTGGGGAAGTAGAGGATTGGGAGCTCCTCACTGGCCATAGCCCCACTAATGCTGGACCCCAGCTTTGTCAGCGAACCCTGACAGCTTTCAGTCAGTCCTGCAATTTATTTCTCACAGTCCTTCCCCTTTTCAGAAGAAGGTAATCCATGAGTAGCAGAGCTCTCCAACACAGAATAGCTCTCCCAAGAGTACTCTTGCTCTTGGATCCTGAATTAATTTGAAAGAAGACAATTCTGCCTTAGGTATTTATTATCTGGGAGATAGAGTGAACAGTTGGATCGCCTTGTGGCAAAAAAGGCAATACACTTCCTGGTGCTGATTAGGGATGTAATTACTAATTGTCCAGAAATGCTTCCTGCTCCACTAATACTTAGTGAGTCAAGAGAGTGAGAAAACCCAGAGCCTTGCTGCCTATTCTTCATGAGCATTATTTATTTATTTTTTTCATGTGTTGTCATCAAGCACCAAAGACTATAGATGCCTTGGCACAAGGACTTTTGGTCCTTAAGGGGGGGAATTCAAAATTGTAACAATCTAGTTGAGACATAATCACAAGTTGTCACAAATCAGACATACCAGCTTGGGGGAAGGAGGATATAATTCTAACCCCATCAGCAAAGTTGAGTGACAAGTCACAGTGCAGATGGTTGGCAGACACTTCCTGTGTCCACAGTGGACACTACTATGAGTTTCAACCCTGGTTGGAAATATTCCCTTCTTATGTTTGCTGTACACACCTCTCAGCTTGGCTCTGAGGGACATTTGTTCTCCTTCCGTATCCTTTGGTGGGTACCCTTTTCAGTTACTTAAATCAGTCGTCAACTGGTTGAAGGAATGCAGAGACCAGTGACGTGATCCTGTACTAGCCAGGACTCTGTGTCGTGAGACTCACTTCAGTTCCTTAACTGACTCATTATTAGGGAGAGTGAGAGAGTAAGCCTCTCTCACTTGTTGGTCAAAGCCAAGTTGGATGGTTTCTACTAGGAGAATCCCAGAGATCTTATATTATGGCCTACACTGTGACAGATCTCAGAATGTCGAAATGGGGAAGAATTCCCTTTGACTCATTTGCTGAGCTTTCTGGGTTTCTTAGAGCCCCTGCCTTCTCTATAGAAGATAATCCTCATGTCTGCCTAGGAGACCAATGTGCTTCATTATGAGCTTCCTGGAACCAAAGAAAGAGAAAAGGCCATCACACAGAGGAATCCCACATCAGCTCCCAATACCCCAGGGGGACCAGAGGTTGTGCATGTCCAGGAGTCTGAGATCTCCACACTAAGCCTGAGTATTTTTCTACAGCTGATGTGGTTCTGGACCCAGATACAGCTCATCCTGAGCTATTCCTGTCGGATGACCAGAGAAGTGTAAGACGAGGCGCTTCGAGGCAGAGCGTGCCTGACAACCCTGAGAGATTTGACTGCCAGCCATGTGTCCTGGGCCGGGAGAGCTTCTCCTCAGGGAAGCATTACTGGGAGGTGGAGGTGGAAAATGTAATGGTGTGGGCCATTGGTGTCTGTAGAGACAGTGTTGAAAGGAAAGGGGAGGCCCTGTTGGTTCCTCAGAATGGCTTCTGGACCCTGGAGATGTTTGGAAGCCAATACAGAGCCCTGTCCTCCCCAGAGACGATCATACCTCTGAAAGAGCGTCTTCACCGAGTAGCCATCTTCCTGGACTGGGAAGCTGGCGATGTTTCTTTCTACAACACGAGAGACAGGTCACACATCTACACATGTCCCCCTGTGGCCTTCGCTGGACCCCTGAGACCCTTCTTTAGGCTTGGCTCTGATGACAGTCCCCTCTTCGTCTGCCCAGCATTCACAGGGGCACAGGGAGTAATAATACCTGAGGGTGGCTTGATCCTATATAGGACAAGACCAGTTTGTCAGAGCCATGTAAAGGAGCCATAGCTCTCACCTACCACTCACTGTACAGTGCAATCAGGTGGAAAGCAGGTCCTATGACCTTTAGGTCACCTGGAGTATCTTCCAACTGTCCCCTTCCCACATATTTCAGGTCCGTGCCCCTGTTGACTCCTTCAGTAGTTCATTAGCTTCTAACTGTGGGCCTAGACCCAGTCTTATTGGACCACTGCTATCACATAGCTCTCTGCTGAAAAGAAAGTGTGAGAAGGGGAGAGGTAGAGTACTCGAAGCTTCAGCATGATGTTCTGCCCAGAGTGGACAAAGCAAGGGCAATAGGATACATCGGGAGAGAACTGCAGAGGAAGGGGACAGATAAATACAAATTGAGGCCACAGATGGAGGAAATGGGGCAGAGAGCTTGGGGTAAGCCTCGTGTGACAGCTGTGGGGAGATGGGAGCTAATGGTCCATTAATATCCAAAGCCAAAGTTTTTATGTCATGTAATAAAGATGTCTGGAGTTTGTATCTGTAAGCCTACACATGAGAAGAAAGAATGAACAGTGAAGATCCAGATGCAAGCTGGCTCAGATGTACCTACAGTAGACACTCAGTTCTGAGTGCTTCCTTCTCTTGAGTCCCAAAGACAGTTCCACAACTTTTCACCCCAGAGAGGAAATAGGCTCAAGCTTCTAGCACTGCTTTCTGTCCCAGCATCTACACCCACTAGCACAGCCCTCATGATTCACTACTGACTACAGGGACCACTAGAATAGGGAAGTTTGAGAGAAGCTGGAGAGGTCGGGTTGCAGGTAAGTGAAGGGTTTGCATTCCAGGAGAAAGGAGATTGGTGCTGCCCTAAGAAGCACCAGGTGGAACAGTCTGCTAGTGTTGCAGCTCTAGAGTAGGCCAGGAGCTGGGGCTTCTTCACTCTCCCCAAGGTCTGGGATTAAAGGAAATGTGATGCACCAGTTTGCTTGCTCTGTTGCTGTGATCATTATTCTCAAAAGCAACTAGGGAAGAAAAGGATTTCTTTCATCTTAACTTCCCCATCAAAGTTCATCATTATTGAATGAAAGACATTCTTAAATCTACACACTGAGCAAACACATGAGTGGGGAAATCAGGGGCACCTTTTAATCAAACAACTACTTTGACCAAATAAGATTATGTTAGTCTTTCTCAGATGTGTGTCACCCACATGTATTGACACTTTTCAGGTACTTTCTTTCAGATCAACTTGGTGTTTAGCCAGAGAAAGATACCTACTGTCTTCTTGTAAAAAGACCAAATGGTTTGAATCTCAGTCTACAGCAGTGGAGCTACAGCCAACCAAAGGCTTTCTTTCAGAACTGGGTCCCAGGTCCCAGCTGGTCACACCCTGATGAAGAGCTCCAGCTGCACTCTTTCTCTCTTTCCCACCCTCTTCCCCCCTCTCTCTCTTCTCTCTCTCTCTCTCTCTCTCTCTCTCTCTCTCTCTCTCATCTCTGCCCTCCCCCCTCTCTTTTTCTCTCTCTCCCTCCTTCCAGTACTTTCAGCTAATATATATTTAGGGAGGGAGGGCCCTAGTGCATCTATTCAATTTCAGGGACTTCCTGAAGCTACTGAGTTGTTTACTTCCCAAGTTTAACAAGCTTCCCTGAAGAACAGAAACTTTCACCTCCCCTTAGTACAGTGGTTCTCAATCTTCCTACTGCTGCCCCCCCCACTTTAATACAGTTAGTTCCTCATGTTGTGGTGACCCCCAACCATAAAATTATTTTCATTGCTACTTCATAACTGTAATTTTGCTACTGTTATGAATCATAATGTAAATATCTGCTTTCTGATGATCTTAGGTGATCCAGTGAAAGGGTTATTCAACCTGCAAAGGGGTCAGGACCCGCAGGGTGGGAAGTACTGCCTTAATGTACTGTGTTGTTCTCCCTTCCCTTAACATCCTGTATCTTAATGAGCTTCCTCCAAGATGGCATATGGAAGCACAGATCAAGATTCACGGGGCTAGGCTCAGTACAGGTTAATATAATTTTATTCTGGGAGAAGGCAAGAAACAGATGACTGGAACAAGTTCCTGCTCCAAGGATCCACCAGGCTGCTCTCTGTGACCTGACTGGAAGGAAGACTGCAAGCTCGGGTCAGGATCCCAGACCTAGTCTACCCTCCATCAAGTCTGCACCTATGACCAATCTGTAGTGTGGTCAGTGTAGGGTGGGGTGGGCGTAGATATCTCACTACAATGGAAGATTGTGATCTCAGAAGAAACTGCTACACAACAGGTGGACACTGTTGTTCCAGGCTGTGGTGATGTCTGAAGCAAGCACTGTTGACCTCTTATTGCCTTTCACGGACCACAGATGGAGCAATAGTCTCTGGGTATCTGAAGAACTACTTGCAGACCAACAAGAATTTCCATGTTATTTCATAAGAGTAAATATCCTTTTGTTTTTTATGACTGATGCTACATCAGATATACTTGTAGCCTCCCTGACTGTATCTGGCCATCCTACTTGTTTCTGCTTCATAACTTTTCTAGCTTTAGGAGGCCTTTGAGGTATTTTGCTCATTTTATAGAAAAGCTCGTAAACACTTAGCTTGTTTCCACTTGTCTTTGGTGTCGTAATTTTAAAAAGCTGCTGGAGAGAAAGATGCCATTTGACAGTGCTTGGGTGGAGGGGGTTTTTATTGGAGGAAAGTGAATGGGAAAAGGGGGAGGGGAGACTGGCCTCTGGAGACAGGAACAGCAGAAGAGAAGAGAGAAGCAGGGGGTGGTGGGAAGAGGGGCAGAGACACACAGAGAGAGAAAGGAACACAGAGAGAGTATAGTGAATGTGCACAGGTGGTGCTCTTAGTGGCTACAGCTAGGGGTGTATCCTTTCAGAACGCAAAGAGCAGGCTAGTACAGATGCTTGAATACTAACTTTCCTTCCTTTTTATTTATTATTGATCACTAAATATTCTCTCCCTAACATAGTAGTTGCCTCTATTTCTGTTGTGTTGTAGAATGGAGAATTGACATGGATATATGCAGGTCAGTTTTCTCAGTTTTTCTAACCTCTAACCTCCTGTATTTGTTACTTTCCTATTGCTGTGATAAAACACTGTGACAAGGCAACTATTTGAAGGAATGGTTTATTTGGGTTATGCACATCAGAGGGATAGGAATTGATCACCATCACAGCTAGGAGCATGGCAGTTGGCAGGCAGGGATGGCACTAGGGCAGCAGGTAAGAGCTGATGCTTAACAGGAAGCAGAGAGCACACTAGGAATGGCACAAGTCTTTTGAAACCTCAAACCACCCCAGTGACACACCTCCTCCAACAAGGCCACACCCCCTAACCCATCCCAAACAGTTTCACCAAATGGAGACCAAGTGTTCAAAACATATGAACCTGTAGGGGCCATTGTTATCTAAACAAGCACACCTCCCAAGAACCCAAAGACTAAGAATAAACAGAAGTGAAACTGTTGATAATGCTATAGCAGTGTACACACGGAGAATTCTAATTGTGGGAGAAAGCCTGATATTTCCTTAGACTCCTAAAGGGTCTTTGGAGGGTGGCCCAGAGACCAGTTCCCTGTGACAGCAAACCCTGGATGCTGTCACCTTTGACAGTACCTGTGGCTGCTGATGAGAGGACAGAGACTGTGAGCAGGCATCTCTTTCCTGAGGATACCTGTCAGCTCGTAGAACATGGCTGTGTGTCTTTAGAGAAGGAGGGATAGGCTATCTCCCATCTGGCATTCACTGATGTACTTTCTCTTTTCCTCTAGTTAATGTGACTCTGGATGAGAACACAGCCTATTCCCACCTCGTCCTGAGCAACAATTCAAAATCAGTTCACCTGGAAGACTCATGTTAGGCACTCCCTTATACACCAGAGAGATTTGACACCTGACCCTGTGTGCTAGGCCATGAGATCTTTAATTCAGGGAGACATTACTGTGAGATAGAGATGGCAGGTAGGACTGACTGTCTCATGGGGGTGATGTAGGAAGAATGTCTTGAAGAATGAAGAAAGGATTCATCCTCATGTCTCCCAGGAATGGTTTCTGGGTCATAGAGTTGTCTCAAGAGGAATACTGGGCCCTCAGACCACCTCGGGTCTTTCCCTTCTAGAAGCTCCTCAGGAGCTTCTAGAACTGAAGATGGAATTTTCCTGGAATAATTTTCATTGCTACTTGGGTTCTTTTTTTCTTTTTCTTTTTCTTCTTCTTTTTTTTTTTTTTTTTTTTTTTTTTCGAGACAGGGTTTCTCTGTGTAGCTTTGGAGCCTATCCTGGCACCCACTCTGGAGACCAGGATGGCCTCGAACTCACAGAGATCTGCCTGCCTCTGCCTCCTGAGTGCTGGGAATAAAGGCATGCACAAACAACGCCGGGCCAGGGGGGTCCTTTTTCTGACCCTATTTGTTCTCTATTCCGTTTGTGGTCTTGTAGGACTCCCTGTCCTAACTCCCTCCGATTGATGAGCTACAATGTGTAAGTGTAAGCCAAATAAACCCTATCCTCACCAACTTGCTTTTTGTTTATGCTGTTTCATCACAGCGATAGTAACCCTGTCTAAGACAGTAGCCATTGAGACATTCTGATTAGGACTCTAGGCAGTATTAGTGTCTTCTGAATGACCCTGACCTGACCCTGTGTGTTCAACATCAGATCAATAGCTTCAAACAGTACTTCTGTCTTGTCTCCCCACTCTCACTTTGGAGACATTATTTGATGAGGCTCAGCTTCCTGTTTCCCAGGCACCATCAGCTGCCCTCCACCACCATTATCTACAGACACCTCCATGCTAACTCCTGTCCCCCATGCCTCATACTCAGCCACTCTTTGCTAGTACAGCATGTCTTCTGCTTACAGACTGTATCGGGAGAACTAGCTCATGCTTTTGGCTAATCCTGGAATGAACTTTACTCATACTCCATTTCTCCCCATATCCATGTTTAGTATCATGCATAGCACACCAAAAGCTGAGCCCATTCTCAGAGAAATACAGGGATGTAGTCAATGCCTTTTCCCTCCATTGGCTCACTCTGTAACTTGGTACATCACATTTGTACAAGGACTGCAGTTTCCTCCCCTCCTTACTTTTCTGTCACAGTGTCATCACTCAGCCCTTACTTTTGTTGGTGTGCTGCAGCAAGCTTGCACTAGCAGGGGAGGTACTGTGGTGTGACAGACCTTCAATGTCCCCCTAGGATCTGGAGGGAGTAGGTCACTGGGTCATGAAGTTGAAGGGATTCCAGCTTCTAACCTCTCTTTGCTTCTGGAACATGAGCTAAACAGTTTCATGTCCTCTCAGCCATGATGGCTGTCTTACTCAAAGGTAACAACAGGTCTAAGAAAAACATGACTAGACACGAGCCAAAATCTTTCCTCTTTTTAAGTTATCTTGGTTATTTTGGCATGGCAGAAGGAAGCTCACTAACACTGGTTGTTAAATGTTGAGAACTGTAATGGGATAAGCTTATCCATGGCAGTACTTGAAAACAATGTAAAACATTTTCCTGTATGTAATTAATTTGTATGCTACTGCTTTGTTTCCATAATTTTGCATCTTCTTTTTGTTAAATCCATTTCTCCCATACAAGTAGTAACTAGGTCTTGCCCTGCTCCGCTTCCATGAACAGATGAGATCAGATACTTTCAGGGTGGTTTGCTGTAACCTAAAACCCTTGTGTTAAGCTGTTTTCACCTAACTTTAGGGTAAAGCACTATGTTAACTATAAAGAAACTTTAGTTATTGCAAGTTATTATCATTCTTAAATTATTACGGTTTGGTCAATGTTCTGGAACCATCTCTGAATTCCTGTTGCCTGGGGCCTACCTCTATTTTTTTCCCCCATAAACTACAGTGTTTGGACTTTTGATTTTGAAGAATTCACTTCAATTTGGTTTCCTCTGGAATATATTGATCCAGTTGATGCAAAAGCATGAGTCTTTTAAATGGTTGTGTTCCATATTCTCTAATTTTTTAATGATTTATTTATTTTTACCTCATGTGCATTGGTGTTTTTCCTTCATGTTTGTCTGTATGAGGGAATTGGGTCCCCTAGCACTGGAATTACAGACAGATGTCGGCTGCCATGTGGGTGCTAGGAGTTGAACCCAGGTCCTCTGAAGAGCAGCCCATGCTCTTAACTAGTAAGCCATCTCTCCAGCCCCAGGTTCCGGATTTTCACATAACTCATTTTAGAGATGAAGAAACTGAGGCCACAGATAGTGAAAACTCTCAGCCAAAGGTATAAAGGTCTGTAGCTTGTGCCCAAGGTCCGTAATTCCAGAAGGCCATTCTACCTCCAGAGTTCACTGTGGGTATGACAAAGGTGTCTACTCTATTTCAGCACCTCTGTCCCTCTTCCTAACTTCCCCAACATGTTGATTCACAGGTAGTCCACAGTAACTGTCTTGCAGTCTTCCTCTGGAATTTTGTATTCATTTCTTC